AAAGTTTAATGAATTTGATGGCATAACGGCACACACACACACACGGGGATCGTAATAATGCCACCGAGATATCCTTCTGCCGGGACCGGAGGGAACGGGCACGATAATGCATTCCGCGGTCGAACGCAAAACCGTCCGCGATAGGAGAGGCGATCGCGAAAGTGAAAGCAAAGTCTCATAATATGGTCTCCGTACAATCGACCTCGAAATCGCGCAACCGACTTCGTCGCAGCCGAGGTCTAAAGTCGAGAACCTGCTTCTGCTGCTGCTGCTGTCGGCCGCGCAGACAATCGGGAGAGGAAAAATAATGCCGCGACAAGAAAAGTCGCGGAAAAAATGCGCGCGCGCGCACCAGGGTCTCGCGACTGTGGCGAACGAGTCGCGCCGAGAGGGCCGATTAAACTTCTCGTCTCGAATCAAGGACGTTTCGTTTTCGTTGTTACGGTTCGCCGAACAAACTTCCGAACCGTCGTTCGAAAAAGCTTTACAAAAAGGGTTATTTTTTGTTCACGTTCGCCCCGATTCCAGGCCAGAACCAACACCGTACACACACATATCGTCGACGCCATCGATTCCCGTATCTTTTTACTGAAATTTCAAGAACGGTATTTACCGAAGCATGACCGCTCTTAGTTTCTTGCGCATTCATAATCAGGAAACACATTTACATTTATTTACGTTTTCAGTCGTGTGAAATTGAATCGTTGAAACTATGACATTTTTTTAGACATTTTTGTCGTAAACGAATGAAAGACCCCCGGTCTACTTATGAACGGCCCGGCTAAGGGCCGATTTAAACGCGGATCAAGCAGCAAAATGGAACTATTGGGTTGGTAACTAAGTAATTGCCGATTTGTTCAATGAAATAACAAATTTTTTTTTACTTGGAACGAAGTTTAATCTGTAATGTATTTTCCATTTTGTTCGATGACCTTTTGCCATCTCTCTGACAACTTGAAAATTCCACGCTCGGAGAAAGTCTGATCCTTTTCGGCCAAAAGACTGAGTTAAGTGAGATTTTACAGCGTCATCATCGTTAAAAGTTTTACCACGAAGGGAGTTGTCCAGGGATCGAAATAAGTGTTAATCCGATGGCGCGAGATCAGGGCTATATGGTGGGTGTAACATCAATTCCCAACCAATATCCATCAATTTTTGCCGAGTGGACAAAGACGGCCTAGTGTGCGGCCTAGCATTGTCCTGCTGGAAAATGGCACCTTTACGATTGACCAATTCTGGTCGCTTTTCCTTGACCGCTGCATTCAATTTATCCAGTTGCTAACATTCACGGATAATAAAAAAAAAATAATAATAATAATTTTATAATATAACATTTACGGATATCACAAAAATGGGAGTGAGAGACATCCATAACTGAACTCGGCAATTACTTAGTTGCCAACCCAATAGAACTTGAATAGATTACTGACACGTTCCGATAGCCTTCTTACATTCGTTTGCATATATCATCAACCGCTTCACACTTTTACAATCGGACAAAATAATGAATGAAAGTAAATAAGAAATAAAATAAGAATAAATAAAAAAGATAAGAATAAATAATAATAAAAAAAAAGAATAAATAATAAATAAAAAAAATGAGAATAAATAATAAATAAAAAAATAAATAATAAATAAATCGGATAAAATCGGAAGACTTAGCCAAGTTACCGAAACAGTCCAGTTCGGTACGCGTCGGGCCGAAACGTTCGAAATTCGCCCGAGCGTGTCGATCGCGCAGCTCCTAATACTAATGCGCGCGAGGGGGGGGGGGGAGGCGAGACAATAATTCGCGGCGATTCAAACGGAATAGTTTCTGTGCGTGAAAGTGATCGATAAAAAGCGTCTCGCGTTCTCTCGGCGATAAGAAAATTGCGCAACAAAGGTAGAGAGCAGAGAGGATTTCCCACGGGGTGGCTAGAGGGAAATAATAAGTAATGGAGAATATAAAACGCGAGGCGCGAAGGAAAAGTTAATTGTAAACTGATTTATCAGACGGCGGAGCGACGTTGGTTCACTTCCCTGCGGCGTGAGTCCCGCCGGGGAGAAAGTTTCTGGAGAGCCACTGTGCCTAAGATTGTATGCAAAATGTAACGGTAAAGCGATTGTTCCCCGTGAGATCCTCCTGTTATTTGCCGTACGATCTAAGACATCGATCCGCGGATCTCGATTCGTCGTCGTTCCGGGTAATCGCGCGCGGTTAACCAATGAAAATCATCAATTTTATCAGCGCGTGTTAAGACCGTTTTTTCGTGGAAAAACGTGTTCTTCTTTTCCCCGATAGGACATTCTTTCCTATCGGGACGAAGAGATAAATGTTTATCTCCAACGATCGATCGTTAGAAACGCGATCGATCTTCGTTCTTCCTAATTTGACCTCGGCTTGGAAAGGAAAATGAACAATTTCAGAAGAGAAGATACGATTGTTATGCGATTACTACAGGTGTCCCAAAAATGTCTCGCAATCCGAAAGTGGCGGGTTCCTCGGGTCATTCGGAGCAACTTTTTCCTTCACGAAAATTTTCTCCGAGGCACCGTTAACGAGTTATTAACGAAAAACAGTGACCAATGAGTGGCGAGCTCCGCTGGCGCGAGGCGACCGAGCCAATGAGCGGAACTGAGCTTCGCGCGCTGGGTTGGCTGGGCCGCCTCGCGTCAGCCGTACTCGATTCTTATTGCTCACTGTTTTTCGTTAATATCTCGTTAACGGTGTCTCGGAGAACATTTTTGTAAAGGAAGAAGTTGCTTCGAATGATCCGAGGAATCCGCCATTTCCGGATTGCGAGACATTTTTGGGAATAAGGGAACGCGTTGACGCATTTGCAAATTCTTCGAATCGTTTTGCTATTTTGTTCGCGAATTCTCCCTGATGATATTAATATAATAAATATATTTAATTATAAATGTAATTTTATAGTAATAAAAACTGTAAAAAAAATTTGGGAAGAGGAGATACGATTATTCGAGGCTCGTTTTCATAGTTCTTGACAATCGGCAACTACAATAATCGTGTAATAATCGTATCTCCTCTCACCAAATTGTCCAATTTTGTGCACAATTTGAGCGCAAATTAAGGTCCCAATTAAGGGAGCCTAAGGGATGCAGAAAATCGAAAGTTCATTTGTCACGGTAAAACAGAGATCTAAATTCTAAATAATAATAATTCTAATGATATTCTAAATTAAATAAGATTTCAATTATTTAAGAACAGAGAGAGAGTTAAATTCATTGTTTTCATTATATTCGAACGACGCGGACGTCTCGTACGCGTTCGGTGCAAAATAATGGACAGCAGGCTCTAACGATAATTAGCGGATATATTCGAAGTGTCGAAAGCTGTCTCCCGTGAGAAACAGCCGGAAAAATTATAAATCCACGGCGCTCGCTTGAAAATATCAACACGCACTTTCCGGTCAGCTCTTAATACACGGTTGTTTCGGCGTAGAAAATTTACGTTCATTGTACGAAAGCACGGAATCTAACGGAACTCCTTCATTTAGTCGTTATTACGTGTTTCGTCATTTCGTTGCTGGAAAACGAGATTTAACTCTTTGGTCGATGAACTTTGTAATTTCCTAGTTTCCGAGGCCGGTCGAACGGTCCGCTGAATATTCCGATTTGGAAATGATCCGTGGACGGATCTTTAATCCAGCGGAAACGCGGACGAAGCCGAGGGAAAACATTCGAGTACGCAGATTTTTGCGATATAATATCCCCTTTGAAAAATTGTCCAAGCACTGGACAATTAATTTATAATACAATAATATTATTATTTACAATACAATATAATACAATAATAATTTATTACAATAAATTATTATTATATATATTATTATATTATGTTGTATTTATATATATATATATATTATTATTATATTATATTGTATTTATATATAATATAATATATATATAATAATAATTTATTGTAATAAATTATTATTGTATTAATATTATTATTAATATTAATATTATATATAAATACAATATAATAATTACAATGTAATAAATACAATAAAATAATTATATTAAATACAATAAATCATTATATTATTCATTAATACGTACTGAAAAATGCGCGTCTCGCGTTAACCAGTGGACCACTGATTTTATGCGTTTATTTATTTATCAGAAACGTTAAAAATCTTTAACGCGTTAAAGTCAACACGGATCAACTCCCTCCTCCCCCCCAAAAAAATTTTTACAAAGTCTAAGCGATTCGATCGATAAAACTGAAATCAAAAAGTTGAAAATCTGCAGTGAATTTTGAAAGCTGATCAAAAATTGTCAGTTAGAAAATATTGTTGTTATTATTGTTATTATTACTACTATTATTATTATTTTTATTATTATTATCTTTATTATTAATAGTAGTAGTAGTAGTAGTAGTAATAGTAGTACGAATTATGCGGACAATTTTTATGAATTTTCAAAACTGACCAAAAATCATGAATTAGAAAATATTCTTGTCACTATCGTTATTATTACTACTATTATTTATTATTTTTATTATTATTATTATTATAATTCGTGATTTTTGGTCAGTTTTCAAAATTCATAAAAATTGTCAGCATAATTTGTACTACTACTGTTACTAATAAAGATAATAATAATAAAAATAAAACTGTAAATAAAATTGTACAAAAATAACGCGAACAATGTTTATTTTCCATAAAACTCCGCGGCCTTCGGGTTTCGTATTCCAGCGGCAAAGTAAATAATCGCGGATTCGGCGAATGGTCAAAATGATTAAAACGACTGAAACGGCTTGAAACGGCTCGTAGAAGATCTTAAAAAAAAGGTACGGTTCGCCTAATAGAGAAAAAAAAGGAAAAAAGAAAATGGAAGCGACGATTTTTAAGGCGGCGCGATAAAATAAATTGAACGATGACGATTTTACCGGCAGTTTCTTGGCCGTGCCATTCCACCGGGTGGGCAGCGACTACGTAATAACGTCACGGTTTAGCGGGGAACCCGGCGGATCACGGTGTTTTAGCAGGTCTGTCGAGCGGATCAGTGCCCGCTGAGCCTTGAACGGTATCAAACGGTACCGCAGGAGAGGAGAGAACGAACGTCCTTCGTAACCGTTGACAAATTTCTCAGTCCGTCGCACGTTACCGCCGCGGCCTGGCCGCTACTCCACACGCTCGGCACACACGAGATCCGTCCGAAAAACTATTCCGGCGAGCCACGGATTTCGTTCTAAAAACGACGGCCCAGTGATCGATAAATCAACGAGGCGGAGGATCGCCGATGGACGGGACGCGGATCGGCACACCGGACGATTAGAGAAGAATGTGCGAGGAAAGTAGTGCGTCCACGTTCCAGTGAATTTTACGCGCAGTTATAGAATCGACAAGTAAGTGTCCCGGTGTTCGCGTTCACCTTGTTACCGTCGCGTTCCAGAGTTTCTTAATTCGGCAAAAATACAGCGAAAAAATACAGTTCTTGCACCGTTTAAAACGCGATCGTTTTCTTCGAAATTCGACCGAATATTGCGCTCGAATTTCTCTACTCGGACGGTGAATTATTATTATGAAATTATCGCTATATTATATTATTATTATTATTTCTTAATCGGTCGCAAAAATACAGCGGAAAATACAACGGTTCGCTGAACTACTCTTGCATCGTTTAAAACGCGATCGCTTTCTTGAAAATTTGACGAAATATTGCGCTCGAATTTCTCTATTCGAACGGTGAATTATTATTATGAAATTATCGCTATATTATATTATTTTTTTTATTATTATTACTATTAACCGTAAATCTAAATTAATTTTTCCGACTTGTGGTATTTCCATTTTATGCGACAAAGTGCATTTTGTGTATATTTAGTTAGATTTCTAATAATTTTTTACATCTGAACTTTGATAAGATAAAAATGATCTTGGAACGTGATGTAACAATTTTAGAGCGGTGCCTCAGAGTCACCACTCGAGTGCAAAGGGTTAATATTATAAGATTAAATTATCATTATTATTACTTGGAACGACGAAAAGACCACATGTCTCTTAATTTCTTCTCTTTTTTTTATCCGAATTTAAAGAAATGGCTTTCGTAGATCGAACGAAGAAACAGATGCACTTTTTTTTATCCGTCTCCGTGCGTCTTCGAGTGCTGTTTTCTGCGATATGATCGACTTCGACAATTTATGAGTCGCCTGATCTTTCGCGGCGACTTTTTAAACCGCGTTCACACTGCTCCGACAAAATCACGGCATTTCGCGAGACGTAATCGTCGAGATTTCGACATCGCAACAGTTCACGCTGATTTGACACCGTTGCACGGTAGATCGATGTCAAACGTCCAGAATTTTAATAAAAAGAAATTGTTCAATCATTTGAAAAAAAAGCGGTTTACCGGAATTATGAACGACGCCGACTAGCTAAAAACTAAATGAAATAACGAATTGCGCTATAAAATAGTGAAATAACAATGAAACAACGTTTACAAGCCTCTGGGCTGTTTATCAGTTACGAATTAAACGAGAAATATTTTCACGATTTCCATACAGAAAACGTAATTTTCATGAAATCGTGGAGAACGTTTCGTTGAAACGGAACAGAAGATAAATGAAACGTTAGATCACTCTTATTATTTGTCGTTCACTAACTGGATGTTTATTCATGTCTCTCAAGGTTTTTGGATTGCTCATTGTGTTCGCATAAGTCAGATCAAATCTCCAGATATGCAAAACGTGTCGTTTCTGCTTCGTATGTACATATACGTACACATGTATGTTATATACTTAGAATTTCCGTAACGCGGGTAAAATGACGTTAACGTTGAATCGAGGATGAGTGGTCGTTAAGTTTTGCTTTTTTTAAATATTTATTAATATTATAATATATAATATAATATTAATTATTAATTATAATATTATATTAATATAATATTAATTATTAATTATAATATTATATATATATAATATTAATTATTAATTATAATATTATATATATATAATATTAATTATTAATTATAATATTATATATATATAATATTAATTATTAATTATAATATTATATATATATAATATTAATTATTAATTATAATATTATATATATATAATATTAATTATTAATTATAATATTATATATATATAATATTAATTATTAATTATAATATTATATATATATAATATTAATTATTAATTATAATATTATATATATATAATATTAATTATTAATTATAATATTATATATATATAATATTAATTATTAATTATAATATTATATATATATAATATTAATTATTAATTATAATATTATATATATATAATATTAATTATTAATTATAATATTATATATATATAATATTAATTATTAATTATAATATTATATATATATAATATTAATTATTAATTATAATATTATATATATATAATATTAATTATTAATTATAATATTATAATATTATTAATTATTAATATTTATGAAAATAATATCGCGCGTTTATTATAAGCTTCCGGGGACCGCTTTCTTTATCTTCGCCCAATTACGGTTGCAAGGCGATCATTTTAGTTGTTCCCTTATCTTGTAGCAACGAATTTTTTTCTGCCGTAAATACATCTAGATATCTCTAAATGCCACTTCCTTAGAGCGTGGATGAGGTAGTGTTGACCTAAATCCGGCTCTTGCCGCAACAATGTTCGTAGAACTATAGTGCTCCTATTTTACACCTGTTCGCGAATGAGCGCAACAATTTTCAGGGCAAATTGTCGACTCGACTCGAAACTTACCAAATACAGTAAATTCGATTGTCAACTCGGCTTGGAAGCAAAAATAGATAATTTTGGAAGAGGAGACGCGATTAACGCTAGATTTACGGAGCACATTTATTATTATTATTATTATATTATGATTATATTATTATTATGTTATGATTATATTATTATTATATTATGATTATATTATGATTATATTATCATTATATTATCATTATACTATTATTATATTATCATTATACTATTATTATATTATCATTATATTATTATTATATTATTATTATATTATCATTATATTATATATACATGNATAAAAGTAACATTAAGACGTTTATTCTGATTTTGAACAAGTGTTAATGTAACATTTGCCGTAAGTAACATATAAGTAACATATAACATATAACTCATAAATGTACCTTCACGATACGAATAATCGTAAATCAAAAACTTAGCGACCCGCCATTTTGTCGGGTTCCGTAAATCCAGCGTTAATCGAGTCTCGCGGCTCGATTTTATGGTTGTCGGTAACTATAATATTCATATTATAATGATCGTATAATAATCGTATCGTTTTCGCCGGTATTCCGTTCAAAAACGATCTACGGATTCGAAAATTCTGAGCCGCGAAAGGTCGCAGCGTTGCTGCGATTCAGGTAGGCGCGTCACCCTCCTTCGTTAGGCACGGAACGAAGTTAATGAACGATGTTAACGAAGTCGCACAACTGCACATCGCAGCTGTAACCTTTCGAAAGGCTCTCGTCAACGTTTCGACCACGTCGAAGACGATCCCGGACGTTCGTTGTTCACCGAACGACCCGTGGGACATTCTCGCGTTTGCTGGAACTTGCTGAAAAAATTGCTTTTATCCTTCCGAGAGACAGAAATGATAAACGGGAGATAAAAGGAGATAAAAAATGACAAAGGCGAAAAAGTTCTAGCAGGCAGACGCACGTTTCCAGTGAATTCTTCCTAACTGTTCGAGCGAATAATCGTATCTCCTCTTGCCAAATCGTCTATTTTTTGTTTCTTTTTTGTAGAATCTGAGCATCGATCGGAGAGAATTTACCGGAATATCTGATCTATTTTAAAGATACTGTCAAGCTTTAATCATTTTAATTAGTAGACCGCGGATTTTGATGCATTTACGATAGAAACGGATAGCCGCGATTCGAAACGATTAGAAAGTTTAAAAGAATAGAAAGGTGTCGATATATTATTTTTCGTTCTGTTAAAACGATCGAAGAAAGAACGAGATTCCAAAGTGGCTCCCAATGTCGTTTGCGATGGACGAGGACAAATTATAAAAATGAGCCGCGAGGCTCGAATAATCGCATCCCCCTCTACCCAAGTTTTTTCCATTTTCGTTTCCAAACCGAGGGACAATCGGGGAGAATTTACTGTAATTTCCAGGTAGCCGCGACTCGCAAAGCGTTTCGCAATCCCTAATAACACGTTGCGTTGACACAATGAGCGTACGCGAGATGTTCTCAACGAGCTACTACAATAAGTTATTATCCGTGATCAAACTCTTGTAAATCTATTGCGCTCCATGCACGAAGTTTAAGCGTACCCGCAACACAACACATCGGGCTAATTATAAAACTGCCATCATCGGCGAGCATTCGCGCAGCACCGTTCAGACACAAGCAAATTCTCCCTAATCGACGCTCAGGTTGGAGAATGGACGATTTAGGAAGAGGAGATACGATTATTCGAGCCTCGCGACTCGTTTCTTTTTTATAGTTGTTGACGATCGGCGACTGTAAAAACGAGCCGCGAGGCTCGAACAATCGCGTCACCTCTCCCCGAATTGTCCATTTCGGTTCGCTCGTTGAGCGACAATCGGAGAGAATTTACAGCAATTTGTTCCTGTTCCGCCATTTTTAACATCGCGGAGTTCCTTGAATTTTGAACGAAAACGTTTTCTCGACGAATTGTCGAATTGTTAAACCGAATTTACAGAGCATACGTTTCTAAATCGCATAATATTTCGGATAATAACTCGAGGCGAAGTTCTACGCGATTGCAAAATTATCAATCAGATATATTTATCTCAGAGTTGCGAGTGAAATTGTTCAAAATAAAACGCGAACGTTTCGTTTGTTGATAATTAAAATGCGAGATGAATACAGTAATGTCTGCCTAACTGACGCTCAGATAGTGCAGAAAAATGGACAATTTGGGAAGAGGAGATACGGTTATTCGAGCCTCGCGGCTCATTTTTATAATTGTTGGCAATCGGCGGCTGTAGAAAACGAGCCGCGAGGCTCGAATAATCGTATCTACCCTTCCCAAATTGTCCATTTCTGTTTCCAAGCTGAGGGACGATTGGAGAGAATTTACCGTAATTTATTCCTGTTCCGCAATTTTTAGCATCGCGGAGTTCGGCGAATTTTGAACGAAAACGTTTTCTCGACGAATTGTCGAATTGTTAAACCGAATTTACAGAGCACATGCTTCTAAATCGCATAATACCTCGGATAATAACTCGAGGCAACGCGAGGCGAAGTTCTACGCGATTGCAAAATTATTAATCGGATATATTTATCTCAGAGTTGCGAGTGAAATTGTTTAAAATAAAACGCGAACTTTTCGTTTGTTGATAATTGAAATGCGAGATGAATATCGCGCATTTTACGGTGAAAAATTATACGCAAACTCGAGCGAAAACGCTGACCGCGAAGAGAACGATTCCACGAAGGTCATGGAGAACTAATAATTTACAGGTTGCTTGCGTCGGTGGTAAAAGAAGGTTCGCCAAAGCGACGGAACATGGGAACGCGCAGCGTATGGTTGCTCGTCGCTTCGAACGTGCTGTTCCAATGTTGTTTCTGGAGCATCGGCAGCGCGGCTGGAAGTCTACGGGTGGCTTATCAGTGGAAACAACTGGATTACGAGTGGCCGAATAACGAGACCAGACAGCTGTTCCCGTGGTACAAACAGGAAGACAATCTTCCGCTTGGTCTCGAGGTCACGAAAGACAGGATCTTCGTTACGGTACCAAGATGGAGACGCGGCGTTGCCTCGAGTTTGAATTATTTCTACGCTAACGGTAAGTACCTGTTCTTGTCCGGAGTTACGGCAATTTTTTTCCTTTTCGCGAGCACCTTCCATCGGGTTCTGGCCGGCAGATTTTCAACCGTGCTCCCCTAACCGCAGCGAATTCTCCCCAATTGTCCTTCAGCTTTTAACCAGTTGGCTGCGCTTCTCGAGCATACCTTGGCGCGAATGCGATCCTCCGCTTTGTCCACCTGTTATCAACGCTAAACCTGCCGAGCGTTAAAAATGCCAAATGTTATTATATTATACAGGATGTCCCAAAAATGTCTCGTAATCTGGAAATGATGGATTCCTTAGGTTATTCGAAGTAACTTTTTCCTTAGCGAAAATGCAAACCACGGCTTCGTTTACGAGTTATTAATGAAAAACGCCGACCAATAAGAAGCGAGCTCTGCTGACGCGAGCCGGCCGAGCCAACGAGCGCGCGAAGCCCGGCTCCACTCATTGGCTCGGCCGCCTAGCGCCAAGCGAGCTCGCCTCCCATTGGTCACTGATTTTCGACGATAACTCGCAAACGAAGCCACGGTTTGCATTTTCGCTAAGGAGAAAGTTGCTTCAAATGATCTCAGGGACCCTCCATCTCCGGATTACGAGACATTTTTGAGACACTCTGTATATTGAGAAAATTATTCGATCGTTTGGTCGTTATAATCTCGGCAATGTTAATATACAAAATGTAAAATCAATTGTGTGTTTCGACCAGCTCGGTAGATAGAACCCCTCGTTTACCGATTCCGAGCGACTTTTGGGACACCCTGTAGATCGGCTTGGGTCGCGATTTGTTTACATGTACGACGCGTTTGAAAATAAAGAATTTGGATATGAACGGTTCGGGTAATCGAGGTTCCACCGTAGGAGAAACATGAGAAGGATCGAATGAGAGAGGAGATACGGATTTTTGGCCAATTCTTGTTTCTCGAAATTTATGGAGAAAATTCATATATATATATAAAGTTATATATATAAATAATATATATATAATTATATATATTATATAAATATAATTATATATTATGTAAATATTAAATATTAATATTATTTATTATTAATAATAATATTAATATTATATATTATATATATATATATATATATATATATATATATATATATATTTATATTTATATATATATAAAGTTATATATACATAAAGTTTCCGATGCATGAAGTTCCTAACCCACAAAGTTTACGAGTCTTCGCGGAGAAACGAAACTGTTCGATCAACGATAACGGTCGGACGCTCGTCCCTGGTTTAGTCGCAGGCTAATATCGTTTAAGAAAGTCGACAAACGACGCGGTGTACATCCTTGTACAGCTTTGGCCAAGTTTCAAGAAACTTGGGAAAACTGGCGACGACATTTTCTCGACGGAAGCAGGACTAAACGCGACGTTATTAGGCCAACTTTCACATGCGCTTGTAACGATACGTGCTTCACTGGCGCGCCAGCGAACGAAGTCTCTATCCGAGCGACTCCGGGACACTGTTTTCTTTTTGATTTGTCGAATGCGTCGGTGTCCGTCATTGGACGCCGATGCTTAAACACTAGAAAGACTGAAACTTAGTATATACCTATATTGCCCAGAAGCAGTCGAAATGACTGCATTGTAAAAGGATAACTAATGTGTAAAGAAATTTGTTTAAAATTAATTTTTAACATTTTTTTATATTATTTACAGTTGCATAACAGGTTATTACTAAATATTAACAATAACAAAAAATTTAAGATACGAATAACAAGCACTACTTTAGCTTATTGAGCAACTGCAACTTATCTAGTATATGCCCAAATCGACAATTTATCATGTACTTGTATGTTACCATGTAACGGTAATCGAAAAAAATGGAAAACGTTATTTCAATACAGAGCCCAACTGGTCATATAAGAAATTTACTTAATTCAATAATAAGAGTCATTTGATCATTTTAAATTGTCCAAGCAGTCAAAACGACTGCTTTTGGGCAATATAAGTATAACACATATATATTATACCGGAAATGAAGGGGGGGGAGGTAACTACAATTATTAATAAACGCATTTATATGTTGTGCAAAAAGTCACAAAATTCTAAGAAATTGTATCATTATATACATAATTTTTTTTCTAATTGAAATTAAAAAGCAGTCAAAAAAATGACATCCTTGGGCAATCTAGTGTTAACCGCGCGAACGTTATTAAGCCGTCGATAAAAAGGTAATTCGATGCGCGGCTTTCCTGCGTCCGGGCGATCGGAGAAAACGAAAAAGCGACACGTGTGTTTCGAGAAGAAAGAGATTTCTACTTGTTTTCGAAACCGCGTTGATCGCGGCTCGATCGCGCCCGGTTATCCGAGAGGTAATGTTGCATCGAAAAGTGAATTTTCAAGCGTGTAATAACGCCGCTCGCGACCAGTTTCAAATGTTACATAAAGGCATAGTTTCTCTCCATCGTCGACCAGTGGACTGCGGGATTTTATTACATTTATACATTTCTAACACAATTATTATAGTCACCGATTGTCAACAATTACGAAAACTAGCCGCAAGGTTATTCGAGTTGTAGAGGTTATGAGGCTACGAAAGGCTCACGAGGAGGTTATGAATGTTCAAGATCTCTTTCTAAGGGAATAAATAATGAGATTTATTTAACGATCGATCGTACGGGAGCATATTTAAAAATGTTCGCGACGGGAAAACAGGCGAAAATTGATTTCGTTACCTGTAATAAATCATCGTTGTCGCGGCACGACGTCTAACGAAGGACTTCAGATTGTCTCAGGCTGTCGCTAATTTCGCAGTCTTTCTTACTCGACTCCATTCTTCTTTTCAGAACCGTTCGAAACTGTATCTGATCGTTGTCCTTATTCTATCCTATTGTTGTCTTATTTAACTGTCCAACTGAAAAATGCCAACGCTTCGCCCTAATTGACCGTGCAATTTAACAAGTTATTCTTCTCGGCGCGGAGAGATCTGACAATTGTTTTCCAGGATTAGCGAGCTCGGTTCTTTTGTCCATCGGATCGCGCGCGAGATACGACCGCTGGGAAACGGCTCCGGGTTGCACGTGTTTCCCGGTTCGAACGACGGGGATCGATCAACCCTCGTAAAGTTCGTGGCGAGAAGTCCGACAGAATTTCCTCAAGTTCAGTTATATAATTAATCGATAATAATCGGCGCGTTCGGATACATTCGAAAGTCGCGGGACCGATCGAAAGTGGAAAATCTGGTCGGACGCGGAACCGTAAATAGCGCGAGTCACGGTTTCTATCCGAGCCCGACACAATTGGTGCACAGGTCGCCTGGGACGTCGCGTGTGAAACGTTGAATTTTGTCATGGCATCGGCGTAAGGTCGCGAATAACGAAACCGTCTGACGGCCGAAGCAGGAAATAAACGAACACGAGCGAGCACAATTCCTCGAACGTGGTTAACCTTTTAGGTACGGCTGAATTCTGCGCGAGGCTATTTCTCTGGACGCGGCAGGGTCTGATATGTACTGTACAGAGTCTGATACTGTATATTCTGTCTGTATATACAGGGTGTTCCAAAAATGTCTCGCAAACCGAAAGTGGCGGGTTCCTCAGGCTATATATATATACAGACTATAATATATAATATTATATTATAATATTGTAATATATATAATATTATATTATAATATTGTAATATATAATATTATATTATAATATTGTAATATATAATATTATATTATAATATTGTAATATATAATATTATATTATAATACTGTAATATATAATATTATATTATAATACTATAATATATAATATTATATTACAATATTATAATATGTAATATTATATTATAATACTATAATATGTAATATTATATTGTAATATTGTAATATATTATAATATTATATGATGATTGAACGTTTTCTTAAAAGATTATTTATTATTAATGGAGGAATATTATAAAACGGCAAGTGAATCGGCCATTAGAAGAGTACTAAGAAAAAGAAATTATGGTAGAATTGCGCGGAAGAAGCCCAATGGCTTCTCGATAGAAATAGCGACTGAAAATGTGAACAAATATACAGGGTGTCCCGAAAATGTCTCGCAATTCGAAAGTGGCGGGTTCCTCGGGTCATTCGAAGCAACTTTTTCCTTTACGAAAATTTTCTCCGAGGCACCGTTAACGAGTTATCAACGAAAAACAATGACCAATGAGTGGCGAGCTCGGCTGGCGCGAGGCGACCGAGCCAATGAGCGGAACTGAGCTTCATGCGCTGGGTTGGCTGGGCCGCCTCGCGTCAGCCGTACTCGATTCTTATTGGTCACTGTTTTTCGTTAATAACTCGTTAACGGTGTCTCGGAGAATATTTTTGTAAAGGAAGAAGTTGCTTCGACTGATCCGAGGAACCCGCCATTTCCGTATGAAGACGATTATTTGATTCAAACGATGAGCGAGTGAGCTACTAGAGCAAGCCACTATAGTGGCGCATCGTCCAGAGAGATGACATCCGCGAGACCCACTATAGTGGCGTATCGTTCTGAAAGATGACATCCGCGGAAGCCACTATAGTGGCGCGTCGTGCCTAAAAGATTAATCGCTTCACGCTTCGTCGCCCTCGTTGTCTGCTTTATCTGAAATCGACGAATGCGGTAGAGTTCCGTTGAAAGGTTATAAAAATAAATTCTCTTTAAAATTTGTATCGCTAACTCGAATACCTCTATTGTTTAACAACGTGCTTCGAGAAGTTCGACGCTTTAAACATTACCATTTCTTCACGATAGATGTCGTTTTACACCTCCGTTTTACACGATTTCCTGTTTCGCTTAAAGCGTGTATCCTTTTTTGTCGCAACTCGGTACGAACGAATCTGCTTCACGTTCGGTTACTTTCGTACTTCTCGCATATTTCTAATGAAATGCTGATCTGTTTGGTTAACATCGTTGCTTCAGACACGCGAGAATCGCCAGGATTAATTCCATATCCGTCGTGGGAGGCGCACCAGTACAAAGCCGGGAACGTGCCGGAGATCATCTCGACGTTCCGGATCCGGGCAGATCGATGCGACAGGTTATGGATCCTCGACACAGGGTTCACCGACATTCTGGACAGTCCGGAGCAACAGGCCCCGCCGGCGTTGATAGTCTACGATCTAACAAACGATCAGATGCTGCGGAAATTCGTCGTGCCCGATGATCAAAGAACGCCGGACTCGTTGTTCGCTAATATCGCGGTGGAAGATTACGACTGCGAGGATAGCTACGCTTACTTGGCCGATTTAGGCGGGCCAGGTCTCGTCGTGTATTCCTGGAACATGAATAAGTCGTGGCTCGTTAAGCATCGATCCTTCCATCCGGATCCACAGGTTGGTTTCGACGATGAAAGAAATTCCACGGAATCGGACAGCGTGTTGTTAGTCGTTGAAGCAGCGATCTTCGATACCTTCAGTTCTAACAGCCGGAATGAAATGATTCCTGAGGTCATTCGAAGCAACTTTTTCCTTAGCGAAAATGCGATTCGCGGTTTTGCTTACGAATTATCAACGAAAACCAATGTTGACCAATGAGCGGCGAGCTCGGCTGGCGCGTCGCTGGCCGAGCCGCCAAACGGCGGAATTGTGCTTCGCGCGCTCATTGGCTCGGCCGAGACGCCAATCGGCGGAATTGGGCTTCGCGCGCTCATTGGCTCGGCCGCCTCGCGTCAGCCGAGCTCGCCTCGCATTGGTCACTGTTTTTCGCTAATAACTCGTGAACGAAGCCGCGGATCGCATTCTCGCTAAGGAAAAAGTTGCTTCGAATGACCACAGGAATCCACCATTTCCAGGTGTTAACATAATTATGGGTTACCCTATACACTGTAAGAAGTGAACGAGATCTGTCCGAATTTCCACTTTACGATGTTTGGAGAAACTTTTGTGAAGAAATTATTATCGAGAAGGCTCTCCGCTCGTATAACAGAACGAGTGTACTGATAATAAGTAGGCTGCGGATTTCATGCGTTTATGACAAAAATGGGTGATAGGTATTAAAGAAAGACTACTTTTTTTGTTGCAATTTGTCTGAGATAATTTTGATTTTACGCAAACGATTCTTTAGAGCGCTCGCAACAAATACGTCTAGGCAGCTCACGGTTCTGTGGAGCGGTTGATCATCCTGAGAAGAAGGAGATCGTGCAATTATTTATGGCAGGCTGAGCCTCTTAGTCGGCCAACTAGGAAAATGAATGGAACCGCTAAGAGAGAGAAAGGAGGAAGGGAGTAAGAGATAGTTGATTGACTAGAAAGTCGGGTGTAATGCCGAAGAAACGTGTCTGTGAAAAGTACTCGATATGATACCGCGGACAGTTTTAAATGTAGCCTAAAAATCCCCGAATATGGTCGTGCGCTGACCCTTGCTTTCGACAGGAAACTTTCTCTGGCATGCACATATGAGCTGTTTATTTTGGAAGTGGCATAAGTCACTTTGTTTTTAAGTCGAGATATTTAAGGGTTTGCGTTTTAACACGTTTAAAAATATGGATGCTAACTTTCGAGAAGATTTACTTGTATTTGTTATCTCAGGATACTGATATTTTTCTCAGTATAAATAATTTCGTATAAACATTAAAAAATCACCACTTTTCATTACGGTAAAGTGACTTGAGCCACTTTCAAAATAAATAGTTTAGAAAAATGACTGACATATATTAATTTTGTCCGACGTATTTTACCGAAGCGATGTTTTGAAAGGACAGTGATTTACTAAAATTGTTGAATAAATTACATATATAATAATAATTTATACCATGAACATATTCAATATAAAGGTCTGATTTAAGTATTTTTTATTTTAATATCCATAAAATACAAAAATAATTAGTACATTTTGAAACATAAGTATAAGTAATTTATATGAAATTACATCGGTTCAATTTAATTTTCGTCATCGATAGGAGTGATTAAGTCCTCGGAAATCGTGTTTTGTTTCAAATTTT